ATATCTATATGGGGCCCTTCTTCTTCGTCGTTGTAGCTGTTGCTCTTCGTCAATAAATTCCTCTTCTTGTTCTTGAAATTTTGGTTGATGTTGTGTCGCATTAGTATACTGTTGCGATGTTTGTCCTCCCATTAATAATATGTCTTGCTGCGAGGGGGAGGTCGGTAACCTAACACTTGACATCCATTCTAGGACTGCAATAGGAAAAAATGATTGCGTTGTGGGATGTTGAGATGGTGTACCATAATATATTTCATGTGGACTGCGTTCTTGTACAGCAAATGTGCTCAATGTTGTTTTGATGGCCCTGCCCCAGTCATGTCATAGGAGGTAGACGAAATATGCATTGAATGTCTAGGTGGTTCACGCTCAGTATTTTGGCAGCGTCGACTTCTTGTGGATCTAGATGGAGCATCAGAGGTTGTTCTTCTTGCTCCTTCTGCCCTAATTTGGCTCCTCTCATCTGTTGTGGTGTCAAAAGTTGTATAGTCGATATAAACTGAATGTTGCACTCTAGCAGAGAGTTCGAATACCTGGTCAACTGCTAATTATAATGAACTTGCATTTTGTCCTTGATCCCCCGCCAATGGCTCTAGAATAGCAGTTGAATGTATGTAGTAGTCAACCTACAAGATGTGATATGTTTATTAAATTATTCTTTTTAAAGAACATGTTAAAAAATATATTAAATAATTTTACATACCACTAATCATTCTCTTGGAGATCGAGGGAAGAAAGTCTCTGGTGGCTCTGTTTGTGGCTGCAACAGATAAATCGATGCCTATGATCTATACCACCGTAGGTATGTTCCTAACTTTCGATTACATTTGCCTTCTGGTAGAGTTATTGCTGCAACATATGCTCGTATTTCTTCCCATAGCGCAAGGTAATCCCGATACTGAATAGTCCAATTTAAATCTTCTCTACATATTCCATCAATCCTTCTAATATTTGGTTCCATCGGTGGAACATCAGTGAATTGTACTCCCCTAAATTGCCTCATAACATGGTCAGGTAGATGCCACTCGGTACGCTTCCAGCTAATGAGGGGCACTCGAGCACGCCATATGTCTCTCCCCTCCAAACATTGGCTAGGCAAAGCTGCAAGGATCTCATCCGTGTATGGAGTCATGGTCACCTAGTATCAATGAAGTTAAAGATTATTAGTGATTCTTGATATTTCATAAATATATTAGGAAAAAGAGTAAAATTTTGTTTTACCTGACTAAGTCTTAAACCATCAAATTCATCACGATATGTCACCGTGTTTCCAGATGGGAGCTCACGTATCTGATATTCAGCCCATCTATATTTGACATAATATAATATTAAAAATAATCATTTGAGTATAATTTATTGTAGTATTTATATGTTCATACCTGCAACCAAGTGGTATGCCACCAAAATCATGTATCTGTGGTACACGTAGTGTGGGTCTTCCAATGTACAATCGCTCTCATGGTCAAACTTGTAGTAATGCCACACATCCAGCAATATAAGTGCGTGTGGGCCTAGTAACATTACACAACTCTTTATATAGATGCGCAAGTACAGCACTACCAATATACATTCTACCAAATCTTTCAACATTCATAAGTAAGGGCAACCACTGTAATGAAACATGTGATCGCAATGTGTCTGATATCAAAAAGCACCCAATCATGAAGAGGATATAGGCCCGAAAATGATGAAGAAAAGGACCGTGACCTAAGTCTTTATATGAATCTCGGTAGAATGTCCAACGGAGCCAATGTAAAGGGAGCATTGACTCTAACTGTGCACTACCCATCCTGAAGGTGGCAATGTCATCTTCATCACCTGGTGCATGATACACAGTATCACTGCCTGGATGTGTACCAAGCAGTTCATCACAACATTCTGGCCAGGATTCCCAACGACGACCTACACCCACCACCAACGACGGATATAAGCGGGGTCCCGCGGGGGCACGTGCCCCCTCCGCGAAAAAATAAAAACATCGGGCAGAGGTATTCGCTGCCCTAAAACTCTTCGGCTTCACAAATCGGAGAAGGCAGCTCTCGCTCTCGCAAGTCGCGGCGCAAGCTTCGTCTCTTCCGATTCTTCCATTTCGCGCGCAGAGATAGATTCGTTCGGCATAGAGGTAGATTTGTTCGTCTTCCTTCTTTCATTTCACGCACAATCTTATGCATTTGATGTAGCCAGCACGCTCTCGCCTCTCACTCTCGCTCTCGCAGGTCGCAGCGCAAGCTTCGTCTCTCTTCTTCCGTTTCGCGCGCATACAAAGATAGATTCGTCATCCTTCTTTCGTTTTGTGCACATTCTTCCGCTTTTGCTCCAGCCAGCACGGTCGACTGCCTCCTCCAAGATTTGTTCGGCTGTTCACCGGGTAACTTTGTTTGAGTTTTAAAATTACATATCCTTGCTTGTTAATACTCCTCTGCTTCGTTCTTAACGAATCAAAACAGATTCGCCTCTATTTTAGGTTTTTAAAATGTTTCGTGTTTTAGGTTTTTGATTTTTTTAATGGAAAAATCTGATTTTTGATGTTTGATGCTGATCTAATGCTTTTCATGAACAGCAACCTTCTGGTTCTGGATTACTTCTGATTGCTGCTGACATTCACTCGTTTTTTTTTTTTTGCTTACCAAATCAGTGAGAACAAAAGAATTTTAAGGTAAATTTTAATTTATCAAAAAGAACTACAGAACTGGTTTTAGTTATGATTTAGTAGTAATGCACAAGCTCCATAGCTTCATATGATTTAAGTTTATATGAATTGTGTATAAAATTGTTAAGAAGAATTGTATAAATTATATGATTTAATATGAAGAACCGTGTAAACATTTATTTGAAGGTTGGATAGTTATCTATTTCTATTCCGTTATATGCAGGTTGATCTTGTTCATCTATTGCTACTTGCTAGCTCGTGATCAATAACTTCGAGCTTTATGCCTTTATCAGCTAAGGTATTGTTAGCATGTTTTAGTTATGTCATGGTTTTAATTGAAGGTTCTATTTCTATTCCGTAAATTTGTTTATAAGTTTTGCAAAGTTTGATGCTTCATTTGCATATTTTGTAGTTTATAAGTTTTGTTATTTTTTAGTTTATAATATATATGAGTTTTATTTGTTTTAGGTAGTTTGAATTTGCATAAAGATTATGGAAAAGTATTTTAAGAAAACCTCTCAATCTTGTCATTCTTGCGCATCGACACCAACAGTGGATTTAGAAAAAAATGAAGATGAACAAAGAAATAAAAGGAATCGAACAATTGGTGAATCATCAAAAAGCACGTTAACAGATATAGATAATCTTCAATCAGATCCTGGATTACGTATACCTATTTCTGAATTTAGTTTTAACATTCGTGATCAAATTCGAAGATCATATTTGCAAAAAGGGCCATGTCAGCCTCGCAATCATGACTGCCCTAAAAGTAAGTTTGGAATGAAAGACCGACGTTTCAATCCGAGGTGGTTTGATAAATACTCTAGTTGGTTAGAGTATAGTATTCAGAAGGATAAAGCATACTGTTTGTATTGTTATCTTTTTGGAGTAGAAGGGAGAGGAAAAGAAGATGATGAGGCATTTCGTAGAAATGGATTCTCAAATTGGAAAAAACCAGATAGATTTGATCTTCATATTGGAGGACCTAATAGTGCTCATAATAATGCAAGGCAAAATTGTGAGGATTTAATGAAACAAGATCAAAATATACACTTTGCCTTTCATGTGCAGTCTGATCGAACTACAAATGCATACCGTATTCGCTTAAATTCATCTATTGATTGTGTGAAATTCTTATTAAGACAAGGTTTGGCTTTTCGAGGGCATGATGAGAGTTTTAACTCTAAAAATCAAGGAAATTTTCTTGAACTGCTTCAATTTTAGCTAACCATAATGAAAATATAAGTAGTGTTATACTGAAGAATGCACCTGAGAATTTGAAATTAACTGCCCCTGATATTCAGAAAGATATTTGTAGAGCTATTTCCCTTGCAATTACAGACTACATAAAAGAAGAAGTTGGTGATAGTTTCTTCTCTATTCTTGTTGATGAAGCTCGTGATATATCAGCAAAAGAACAAATGGCTCTTATTATACGATATGTGAATGAGAAAGGTCAAATTATTCAACGTTTTTTGGCTATTGTACATGTTCCTGAAACTTCAGCTAGATGTCTCAAAAAAGAAGTTGAACAAGTCCTTTCAAATTATTGTTTGTCTCACTCTAAAATTCGTGGTCATGGTTATGATGGCGCGAGCAATATGAGAGGAGAATTCAATGGGTTTCAAATGTGATGAATATTGTTGGTGTTTCATGCAAACACCGTGATCAACTGAGAGAGAAACAACGTGAGATGACAATAAGTGCATTACAGAATGGTGAGGTATTCACTGGAAGAGGATTAAATCAAGAAATTTCTCTAAGGCGTGCTGGTGAAACAAGATGGGGTTCTCATTATGAGTCACTGATTAGATTGATTACAATGTTCTCCTCAGTTATTAATGTGCTTGAAATTATTTTGGAGGATGGTATAAGCTCTGAACAGAGAGGAGAGGCTTATGCTTTATTAGATTCAATGCAGTCATTTGACTTCTATTTTTGCTTGCACTTAATGAAAGACATTCTTGGAATCACTGTTGAACTATCAGAAGCTTTGCAAAGAAAAGATCAAGACATCGTGAATGCCATGTCTTTAGTTCAAATTTCAAAAAATAGATTACAAGACATGAGAGATAAGAAGTGGGATGAATTCATTAAAAAGGTGGCTTCCTTTTGTGTTGAACACAATATTATCACTCCAAATCTAGATGATAAATGGGTTGCCCGTGGACGACCGCGACGTAGACTTCAAGAAATGACAAATTTACATCATTACCGAGTTGATGTATTTTACACAGCACTTGATATGCAACTTCAAGAGTTAAATAATCGTTTCACAGAGGCTAATACCGAACTTCTTTTTTGTATTGCTTGTTTGAATCCATCAAATTCGTTCTATGCATTCAACAAAGAGAAGTTAATTCAAATGGCAAATTTATATCCAAGCGATTTCACTCCTTTCGATTTGATGATTCTTGATAATCAGCTGGAAACTTATATTATGGATATGCGGCTTGATCTTCAATTTTCATTGTTAAAAGATATAGGAAGTCTTGCTGAAAAAATGGTTCAGAGCAGGAAGGCAATTTATATCCCCTTATTTTTAGGCTATTGAAGCTGACATTAGTATTACCCGTTGCAACAGCATGAGTTGAAAGAGCATTTTCTGCAATGACTATCATAAAAAATTGACTTCGCAATCGAATTGGAGATCAGTGGATGAACGATACTTTAATCGCTTATATTGAAAAGGAAATTTTAGATTGTATTGAGAATGATGTTATTATTCAGTTTTTTCAAAATATGAAGACCAGACGGTATAAATTGTAAGTGTACTTTATCTTATATTTATTACTTTTTTTAAAACAAAATTTTTAAAACTGCCAATGCCGGTCCCAAGCCCGGATGAAAAAAGTTGAGGGGATTTAAAAAAAAAATTTAGGCCCCCCCTATGAAAAGTTTCTGGCTCCGCCACTAGCTGCACTAGGGGTGCAAATGAGTAGAGTCGAGTAATGACACTATTGCTCATCAGTAAGAAAGCTAGCTCAAACTCGAGCACATCCCACTATAAATGAGCTATAGCAAACTCACGAGCCAAATCGGCACACTTTCACCACTACATTGCACTACCATAGATAAATAAGCATAAATTTTTACTTTTCATTTAATTCACCTCCAAATGGAGCATAAAAATTTAAGACTAAAGGTTTTATTTGGGACTTCTTTTTTATAATTATTTCAAAGAAGCCTTCTAATAGAAATTTTTTAATTTAAAGAATTTTTGTCGTCCTCTCTAGTGAGAGAAAGTCTCCGTTTCAAAAATTTCGTAGTTTGTTGTCCCCTCTTCTAGCTATTTTTTAGGAGCTAGCGGCAGATGGCCTCCGGCCATAGGCTGTTTCATCATTGACAGTTCATCTTATTGGAGGTTCATTTATTATGAATAGAGTTAGTATCACTCGTCCGGGTGCTGGAAAATTTCCTGATGATGATGACGTGCATAAGAGATTATCAAAGGGTTCACCTTTGGTGATAAAAGAGAATGGTGTTTATGTTTTTAAGAAAATTACTAATGTGACTGGTAAGGTTAAAGGCCTTTCTCAAGTGGTTGAATTTAAAACTTCTCGTTGGTCAAAGTCTTCAGCAAAAACATCATTAAAATCCAATGAAATTGAAGCTTCTTCGTCAGGTATGAAAATTTTTGTTAACAGTTTTGAAAATTCAAACTCAATCCCAGATGACATTATGATCAATAAAAATTCACTGATATCAGTTAACAATGATGTCTGTTAAAATGATGATAAGTATTTGGATGAAGTCATGAAAGATTTTTCTTCTTTGGATGTCCAAAAGGAAGCGTCTGTGAGTAGAGAGAATAAAGTCGGAGGAGGTACTCACTCCATGGCCCAGGAAATTGTATATTAAATTAATTTTTAATGAGGATTCTGTATTAACGGAGGATGGCATTGCGTTGAAGTTACATGCTCCCAATGAAATTTCAAATTCTAATAAGTTGAAATACTCCTTGGTAGCTAAGGTATTTGGTATAGAGATCCCATCTCATATTGTTGCTTGGAAATTAAGGTGTCAATGGATATAATTTGGCCAGCTTCATTTTACTATCCTTGGGATGGGTTGGTTATTGTGCACATTCAAAACAGCTAAAGCTTTGGAAGCAGTTCTTACAGGTGGCCCGTGGTATGTGAATGGCCATATTAATGGTGTGGATAAATGGTCCTTTGGTTTTTTTTCTATTCTCTATGAAGGGTCTTACTTCTCCTATATGGATTAGAATGCCTCAATTGCCTTTGCAATGTTGGGATGAGGTTAATGTGGTGAGGATTGCTTCTGTGGTGGGGAAACCATTAATGTTAGATGGCAATATGTTTAATGGGGAAGGAAGGAGTTTGCAAGAGCTTATGTTTGGGTGAAGCTGGACCATCGTCTTCCCTTGGGTGTTTGGGTGGAGGGTATGTCGGGGATGTTTTATCAAAAGATTGAATATGAAAAGATCTCAACATTTTGTTTTAAATGCTAGATGATTGGCATGTTAGGAATGATTGTTGTAAGGGAAATCTGGTTGATATTGAAATAATTAAAAAGGCTACTTTTTCAGGGCATGTGAATTCTGAGATTATGATTCAAGGAGATGATAAGAATTAAACTTATGAGTGCATGTCAATTTCAAAAGGAATAAGAGGGTAGTTCAAGATAAAGTAATCGAAAGGCCGGGATAGATGAGGTACTCAAAGAAGAATCAATTTAAATCACTTAATGTGGAGGTAGTGAAACCTAAAGAGATGGGATTAACGGAGTTGGGTATCTCTACGAACGTGGCATTGGAGAAGAATATAGAAGTCAATGTGGCAGCTGAAGAAGGCGAAATAATTCCGGAGCATGTTGTTCTAGAGGATGCTATTGCAACTTGTGGAGCTGTTGAGCAAAATATATCAACAAATGAAGTGGTGAGTTAACATGTTGATGAGCAGGGTCTGGACTATACTTCTATTCCTTATGTTTTTAATGTTGTTGTGAATAAATTTGAGGTTTTGACCAATTGTGGTGAGTAAGCTTTGGATTTTTATAAACCTTCAATAAGAACGGCTGAGTTTGATAAAAAAAGGTTCATTTATCTTTGGAGGAGGAGGATTCTATGGTGAATATGGGTGTTAAAGGTGAGAGGAGTAGTGAAGATTTTTTGGATGTTAATATATGGAAGGAGGTTGGTTGTCGTTTGGAGGTGGTAAAATTGAAGCTTGCAAAGGAACTTAAATCTCTTGGGCCGGTTAAAATTCTTCCTCGCATTAGAAATTTTGATGTTGTTAATAAAGGAAAGGGCGGGGGTAGGGGTGTCAATTCGAGTTAGTGAGTCGGGTTCGGGTTGAACCCGAAACTAACCCGACACTGTTCGGGTCAACCCGAACCTGACCCATTTTTAAAAACGGGTCAGGTTTCTGGACCCGAACCCGACCCGATTCAGGTCCGGGTCAACCCGACCCGACACGAATGACCCGAAGTTGACCTAAAATTTCTAATTTTCGGGTCAATATTCGATTTTCGGGTCAAAATCGGGTCAATCTCGGGTTTTCGGGTCAAATATGAGTTTTCGTGTCACTTTCGGGTAAATTTCGGGTCAATTTCGGGTTGCTGGGTCAACCCGAACCAGATTCAATTTTTAAAAACGGGTTAATTTGTTCAACCCGAACCCGGATTTTTCCGGGTCGGGTTCGGGTCGTGTTTCGGGTCGTGTCAAAAATTGACACCCCTTGGCGGGGGCTCATCCCCCTTGGTTGTTCAATGAGTTTCATAGCTTTATTTGAATCATAGAGGGGCCAAGAAAAAGGAAGCCTCTCTTTACCTAAGGGAGTTTGTAAAAGAGTTTAATTTTCTTTTGTGAGTTTGTGGATGATTTCTACTATTCAAGGTAGTAAGTATGTTCATATACTTTAATATTATTCGTATAAGTAAATATTAATGAATACCCAATGTAAAACTAAGTTAATTTTTTTCTAAATAAGCCTTGTTCAAATGAATGCCAGTGTATTTTTAACAATGAAATGGCTATCAAATAAATGCATTTATCAAAATTTATTTTTAATTTATATTATAAATATCGTTCTAAACAACTAAGAGCCCCAATATAACTTGGATTCAAACAACTAATTCATCAACAAGCTATGTTGAAGTAAGTTACGCAAGAATTAAAGTCTATCCCAGCATGGGATTACGGAAAAAAAATTAATCACTAACACAATAAAATAAAAAACAAGTTTTTTTTTTTTTACCTTTTTTAAAATAAGTTTTTAACATAAGGAATTTGGTCTTATAATTCTATGGTTAACTTTTCTAAGTTTTCAATTAAATTTTGATAAATTTGGTTATTTTTTATTTTTGAATTGGGCTTTTCATCTTCCAGGCTTAGAAGTTATGAAATTTTTTCTATGTAGGAAGTTCTTTAAAATGAACAAATTGGGCTTTCCATAGGCTTCCTTCACAAAGGTCAAGAAGAACAATTTCAAAAGCATGGAATTGAAAAGCCGGTAATTATAATATACTTATTATGAGGCTAATGTAATACTATTCCCTTCTAAATTCAGTAGAATTCTTAGAATTTGGAAAAACAATGGTCAATTTATGATAGTTTAGTATAACCTTGTTGAAAGTTCAAAATTCGTTAAAATTTAAAAGAATTACTTCA